ATTAAAAAAAAAATAAAAAAATCATGGAATCATTTAGGTTGGAAAGGACCTTTAAAATCATTGAGTCCAACCATTATGCTAACAATGCCAAGTCCACCATTAAACCATGTCCCTAAACGCCACATCTACACGTCTTTTAAATACCTCCAGGGATGGTGACTCAACCACTTCCCTGGGCAGCCTATTCCAATGCTTGATAACCCTTTCCGTGAATAAATTTTTCCTAATATCTAATCTGAACCTCACCTGGCGCAACCTGAGGCCATTTCCTCTTGTCCCATCACTTGTTACTTGGGAGAAGAGACTGACACCCACCTTGCTACAACCTCCTTTCAGGTAGATAAGCAGTAAATGCCAATGAAATTTTAGTGATTCCCTCTATACCATAATGTTAAAGGTGCAATATCAGAAACCTAAAGAACAACATCATGTAAAAAATTACAGTGAGTTGCTTAATACTTGTTAGAAAGCCAAAACCTATTAAAATATGGGCAGGGAAGAACAGGGAATGGGAGACTGAGTGGTGGAGGGAATCCTTCCTATGGAGATGTACAGTGTTGATGGTTTCCTCCTATTCACTGTTGTGTTTTCTTGAGATTATTTCTGTTTGCTAACATACTCTGTGCTTCGTTCTTTTTTCATTACTTTGCATTTCCATGTTACATTTGAATTACTTGTATATACGTTGTGTTTTACATATGCTGGATGCTGCTTCTTTGTTCTGTTATCCCCCAAACTGTTTTTGCCCAGTTCTCAAAGCTGGTTTCCTTTGACTAGCAATTAGCAGTTGGTGAGTTGTTTATAGCCTTGAGGCCTCTGACGGTATCCTTTGCCTTTATTGTCAAGGCCTCTGCTGTCGTTCTTTGCTTGTGCTCCTCTACGCAGCTTTTTATTCTGGGGTCATGGGTAATTCATTCCCTACAGAATAACTACTTGTTACTGATATCTATTAGCTACAAAAATACACACCCCCCCCCTCTTACTTGTATATACAGCCTGTGTGTGCATGTGTACTTAAGTATAGCTTTTACTTAGCTTCGGACAGTTGTGTGATGTAACACCCTATTTTTATAAATATTTATATATAAAATACACACAGCTTATACATAAACAATATTTAAATATCAGAATTTGCTTATATATGTTACATATATATATTCTATATATATTACATGTAACACCTATTGGTTTTACATATATTTATATCGCACAAGTGTCCGAAGCTAAGTAAAAGCCATACAAATTAGATAAGTCACTTGATCTTTAGATAATTGCTGTTAGAGTTGGACAAGCTAAAACAATGCTCCAGGCAGGCCAAGGCAAGTCCAGAGGCCTGGTTATTAGCTTAACATGAGGCCCATGGCCTGTTACAAGCAATGTCAACACCTTGTTTATGGGGTTACACAGTTCCCTTAAGAAAATGCAATTATCCCATCTCTGACTTGTGAATTGCAAAGTTACAGTTGCCAAAAGGTTCATGCATAAGTGAATACAGAGGATAATTCTGCTCAGCTTTATTTTACTAGCTGATTATACTAAAATTATGTATTCCTTTCCTGTGGAAAGGTATTTGTGGGGACCTTGGCTTGACAATAAGATTTTTAGAACATGCACTGATCTTAAGTTATCCTGATTACAAGTGTACTCTCTGTTGAATATATAGCAAAAAGTATCAGACGTTCCACATACCAGTAGAAATGGCAAGCAGAGGCCTTATGTCTCATTTCTAAGGAGCAGGGAAGAAATCTATCTGAAGGAATGGTGTCATGTTGCTGGTTGGAATCCTTGTCCTTGGAGGCAGATCCTCTAGATAGGATTGATGTAGGCTCTTGAAGTGCCATCAAATATACTTAATTTAGGAGACGTTGTAAGAATTTGTTTGCTTCTGCAGTTCTGCTCTTCTTTTAATTACTATGTTGTGGTTTTTAGTGAACTTGGAACTCCCTTGTGAAGTAGATTTGGGTTTCAGTTTATATTCGGTAGATAACTCTTTCTTGTTTGCTTTAAGAGTGAGAAGTTGTAGCTTCTAGTGGATCACATTACTGGTGAATGAGCCTGTTCAAAGAACAAAACAGAGATGAGTGCAGAATACAAGAAGGGGGAGGGGGAAAATACACCAGCAAACTGCTTGTAGTTGGTCAACTTCTACTGTACTGAAAACCCCCCTGTGTTTGTCACCACTGCTTAGCTTTTCACATTAGTAATAAGTTAAGAAAAATAATTTTCTTTTTCATGTCTTAAGAGTCCTCCTTTTCAGAACTGGTGGTCTGTCACTTGCTTTGTATAGACTTTTATTCTTGTTGCCATCAAACATATTGCTGATTTGGCTACTTAATGTGGTTTTACTTGTAAGCTGACATAATTCCAGGGTGATTTTCTGTGTTGCCTACCATTCATCACTTTTTGTCACTTTGGCTTTCCTGAAACTTTGTGCTCCTATTTTTTGTCAGTCAGCTGTTCTTTCAATGTTCCCCCTTTAGTTAGAAATGTTCCCCATCTGTGTTTTCTTTTACTGTTATGTGATATCTGATCTGAATTATTTTCTGTAGCTTAGTTTTTTCTAACTTAGTTTGAGATCTAATATGTCTTGGAATTAATGTGGGAGGAAGGGACTGGGACATGAAAAGAGCACATCTAGCTTGAAGAGGGAATCTAACCACAAATGTAACTAAACAAATTAGTATTTTACTACCTGCTGTTTGTAAGAATTAGGAAAATGTTACAACTTTTCATATGTTAATAATGCATCCACAGATTAATATGACTTCAGTAGATAGTTAAGTGTGTTCATGTGATGAGATCTTTTTGTGAGCTGATATGTAGCAGTAGACCAGAAGAAATTTTTTAGGTTGAATTTAATATGGCCTGAGTTTCTGGCTTTAAAAAATGTAAATGTCCAGCACTCATTCCTTGTGGACCTAATGCATTCAGGGTGCATATACTGCTTGTTTATACTTATAAGTACTTAATGTTTGTATTCTGAATAGTAAAAACGCAAATAAATGTGTTCTTTTTTTTCTTTAAAAAAAACCCCACAACAACAACTAGATATTATCATGTAGACATCCAAGTTCCTAGAAACTTTTTTTGCAGATTTGGAGCAAGTTCAGGATAAACAGAAACTAATAACCATATTAAGTGGTGTATGTATTTCTGATATCTTTCAATAGTAAGTCTATTGTGGTGTCCTTCATAGCGAAGTGGCCATGATGTATGGGAAATGTGCTTTTTGAAACAAGTCATTCTGCAGTATAAATAAATGGCTACCTACGCTGGCAGGGACTTAAAAGAGTAGTAGCAGAATTGAGAATCGGTGCCCTAGATTTCTGTTGCAAAACAGTTGCACAAATAACCCCTTCCCATAAATAATGTAGTGATCTTTCTGGCTTGGTTGCTGTGGATTGCAGCTATAGAATCAACTTAAATGACTGCCTATTTTAATATACAAAGTACTTTCTACTGGGGGGGGGGGCGGAATCTTTACTTGGTGTGCTTGATTGATGTATTAATGTTAATGCAGCTACAAGGCAAATTTGCAACCGAGGGAGCTAATGTGAAAAAGATAGATTTAAAGGCAATTTGTGTCTCTTAGGCTGCTTTGCTCCTGTATATCTAGGTCACTTAACATCTTCCACAACCCTCACTGCTATTTCTTCCAATCAGCAGCGCTAACAGCAAGTATGACTTTAAAAATTAATGTAAGCAGTTGATAGGAATTTGATTCTTGCTCAGAGAAAAGATACAATGGAATTTGAGAATTGCTGTTTTCTGAACTGGTAGAGAGCAGGAGTGCAATGTCTATATAAAAAAAAAATCTAAGACTGGAACACCATCAACAGTAAGACTTCTCTTATTTGTGTGGTCTTTCTTTTGTGGTGTAGCTCTATAAAGGAATTAGTTATTGTACCTCTGTTAGTGATGCTGGGCAGCTGCTGAAAAGCTACAAGATTCTGCAGATTAGAGTCCTTCTTATTCATGGCTGGGTCCTATTTACTTCTTGGGCTAGCTGTGTCTGTGTTTGTCTTCTATGAAATTGGTGTAATTTAAAACACGAGTTTACAGCTTCTGTTTAGCAGACTTTTACTTCAAAGAAGAGACTAAAAGCTTTACAAGACAATTTCATTTGTCTGCCCTTCCCTTAGCCTATACCTTTTCAGATTTATTTATTTATTTGTTTTAATATGAGTGTTTACGATGTGATTACAGTTGTGGTAGCAAGTTTCATATGCTTATACTTCATAGAAAGTATAAACACCTTTGATGTTTCTTCAGATTGTGTTATTTTTGTTGGTGCTTTATGTAATGGATAGGATGTCAATAAAAAAACCCTGATGCAGCCAGATTCTTGTTCCTCAGAAGTTTCCAGCTGAATCTTCAGGGTTATAGAAAAAGCTGTTTATTAGTTCGTACGTATGACTTGTAATTCATACTGTTAGAAGTTTAATCCTATTTCTGTTACTTAGACTGAAAAAGCAGATGATGACCCATCCTGATCAATCTCCTTTTTCCTAACTTCTTGCAACTTCTCTCTCTTGCCAATTTCATCAATATACTTATATTTCTGTGGTTATTTAATTAAAACATATACCACAAAAAGGACCTTCTAATATTGCCTTTGAACAATACATGTCAGATAACCAAAGGCTCCATTAGCTGAAATTATGTATACCATAACTTGAAGCATAGACCTCCCCCCATGACTTACACTATCCCACTGCAGTTATTCCGTGTGCTTCTGCTGTTCCTGCTGCAGGTCATGCTACTGGGGTTGGTGGCAGAAGCCCAGAGTGAGTGGGGACACATAGGCTCTGAGATGATGGGGTGCAGAGAATGAGTTGTGTATCCTGTGGGGAGATTCATGTGATCTTGGAGATACACCTTCATCTGTAATAGGTAGATAAAGTAGCAGGTATCAAATTTGTTTTGCAGGAGGATGTTGTTAAAATCAGAATGTTATAGTAACTATAAAGCCTAACTTCTCAATTTTTTCACATCTTTAGATATTCAAGAATTTTATGAAGTGACCTTATTGGACAATCCAAAATGCACTGATCACTCTCAGACATCTGAACCAATACTGCCTGTGAATACCTGGGACTTCTCCAGCCTTCCAAGCACAACAGTGACATCAGAAACACTGCCAAGCAGCCTTAGCCCAAGTGTAGAGGTATGATACAGAAATCTCTGTCTTATTTTTCTTGTTGAGATTATTAGTTCAACATTGTTCTCTACACTTCCTTCATTTTATAAAATATTTATTTCCATAGAAAACTTACATTATTAAGATCAATAATATAGGGGATTTAATTATTGAAATGTTTAATAAGATGTGTGCATTTTGCTTTGTCAAAAATTTATAAACTTGTTTGTCAAATATACCATTAAGTGACCATTAAATTGGATTTATGCTCTGAATTTGGAACCTCACTGACAGGCTTAGTATTCTTGTACTCATTCATACTGACGACTCTTCAGTCACTACTTCATTAATGATTTGGGAAATCTGAAGCTGTATCTTTCTGATGGTAAACTTTTCAGTCTGTTCATAAGAAATTCTCTGCTACTTATATAGCTGTGTTCTGGAAGGACTCTTTTTGGAAAACTACACGAATCCAGTTGTCACTCATGAGTGGTGAGAAAACTGAGCAGGGAAATGCACATTGATATATATTTTCATTAAATCAAGATCTCCCTGCCCAAGTTAGTTACAATGTTGCTTGAATTTATTTGCATCAGACCTATTAATTGTCCCCAGAGAGGTGAAAGTGTGCCCTCAATACTTATGGCATTGGAAAAGGTGTGCGAGCTTCTCAGTAATAACTGAAGGCAGTGTGCTATGATGACATGTTTTTATGAAATGGTAATAGGGCTCAGAAAGAGCACTGGGGGAGACGAGCCAAAGGACTAGTGCTGCAGCCTGCAGGGAGGCTCGGGAGCTCGTACTACCCAGTGAGATAAGGTGGTTAGTAGGATGCCTTACAGAGTGAACTCTATCAGAGGCTGTTTGGACCGTGTAAGAAAGTCCACGTAGGTGCAGAACATAGGCAAGTGTGTGATGTGCTAGTGAGTTTGTGCAGTTAAAAAAAAAAAAGTGCTTGTGCTTATTGTAGCTTTTCTGAAATTTGTCATATTGAAGCTAGTACGAAATGTGTCAGAAATGCCTTAAAGGAAACTGTAGAGGAAATCTAGGAGTTGTGTTGTGTTCTTTCAAAGTAGAAAATGGCTAGCAGATAAAAGATCAGCCTAGCCAAGGACAAGAGTTACATATGGCCAAGAACAGTCACTAAAATGTCTTTACATGAAAAATCTGAGCAGCCGAGGTATACCATATTTTTCAGGTTTGTAAGTAATTAAACACTGAGAGATTAAAAGTCTAGTTGAACTTGCAGTGTAGGAATGGATTATTTTACTTTGATTTTTATGAATCTTGATTATACGCTGGAAAACTTAAATTATATGTCTCTTTGGAATCTTAGTTACCTGAAATTGCATAGAGAAGGCCGCTGTCTTTATAGTCACCTTAATGAAACTTTTCTCTAAGAATTGTCATCTTTGGAGAAAATGGAGTAATGTTAGGGTATATGAGAAATAGTATTGAAAACACCTTTGTGCTATTTACTTGTATGCTATCATCTAAATCTTAGGCTTAGAGCCGTAAAACTCTTTCTGAAGGTATGGTGGAAGTAGTCTCTTAGAAGCAGGAGTAAAATGGACTGTGGACAACAGGGTAGGCAAGGATAGGCAAATTTTATTTTGTCTAGTGAGGTGTTTTGAAATAAGCTGGCTCAAATGCATTTCATGTTTGCCGGTGCAAAAAGCTTAATGAGGCAATTTAAGAGTCATTAGAGTTGCCCTTAGTCATGGAGGATGGATGAAGTTCCAGAAAACTGCAGATGGGCAAATGCTATCTTTTAAAAAGGGTGTGTATAGGAGCAAGGCAGGAAAGGAGGATCCAGGTTTAACAGGTACAGGGAATGATTCTACAGTCTTTTTGTAGCTCTTTGAAAGTGATAAAGGAGCCAAATAATAGCCATCATAGTTGTCGGTAACAGTTTTGTCAAACAGTTTCTTTCTAACGTGGTAATAGTTCTTGTGGTAGGAAGAAACAGCAAATGTGATAAATTCTGACTTTGGTAAAACTTTTGGCATGGTTTCACAGGCTATCTTTTGAAACAATATATCAGTTAAAGTTTCTAAAAAAATGCATCCTACTTTGAGTTATTAGTGAAAATACCCTGATTAAATTATAAATTAAACCATGGGAGGAGATTGGTGTGTTGCTTATTCAGAAATTAAGACTAGAATGAAGCCGTGAGTAGTTGAAGTAATTAATGGGCAGGCTTTAGTTCAGCAGGACCAAGTACAGTGTCCTGCACTTTGGTTGTGCTAAAGTAGCACCCATAGAAGTTGAATAGTTAAGAAGTGGTTTCTCAGAAAAGATCTGGGTCCTTTTTTAATCTCAAGGTGAGTCAGGCGTGACAATGTTAATACACTAAAAGGAACACCTTATTGACATAAGAGTGTGGTGTAAAACTGTTCTGTTCTACTTGGTCTGCATAAGGCTTTGCTGGAGCAGATGTCAAATATTGACAATGTCAAATTTAAGGTACTATGGTGCAAAAAAGATGTAGAAGAATTTAAGTGCTTAGAGGGGATTGACAAGGAAGATCTATAGCTTGAAAATAAATGAAGACTGGTGCTACTTGAAAGAATTGAACACTTAATTGGGAAACAGAATTTTCTTGTGTTTGTAGGCAAATGGAAAAAAAGATAGTTTGTGCCTATACAAGATGTATTAGGCTCACACTATAGTAGTAGGCTTAACAAAAATGTTTTAAATGTTTTCCTTAGCACCAGAATAGCTGCGCATGGGCAGTATCCCTTACTGAAGGTCTTCAATGGAAGCATAACTGTCTTAAATGTTGGATTTTTTTTTTTTCCCCTCTGATACACCTTGGAACAGTGTAATGGACTTGAGGATTTATGTCTCTACCAAACCATTTTGTTATTGTTAAACATGCTTCTAATTCCAGCAGCTGGGATTGTGAAGCAAATATCTGCTGCTATGAGACTTGTGTTACGATGTTCCAACTGTAGCACACGTGTTGTGCTTCCCCGATAGGGGAAACCTGCTGAAATCTGAAGTGCAGAATAGCGCATACTGTTAAATCCAGGCTTTGTGATTATTCTCCCCTGTGATCCCTCCAGAAACTGGAGAGCCTATCCTATAAATGTGTGCTTATTTAGTGACCAAGATGTCTACAATAAGAAAGACTAATTTACCAGTTAAAGGGTAGTGTTGTCCCTGTATCTTTCTAAATTTTACATGAAGATGCATGTGAAGCTGTAATTTAATTATGAAGTTGCATCTTTAGTTTTTATTTTCATGTGCTAGTAGACTGCCAGTAATACAAGGACTTGTCATTGATGCAGTGTCATGGACGAGAGGCATATTGTCATGGCAAGATCACTAACTTGTTGAAAGAAAGAATGGCTTAATTTGGGAAGTCTCACCATAGACATAAGTGTATGTTCTCAGTTGAACTGTTTGCTAGATAATGCAACTGCTTCTCCAGTACAGTCTGGTGGTCATGGTATTAGTGTCACCTAACAGAACCTGACATAGTGTGGATTATTTTGTTATTTTTCTAAGTGGCCCAGACTTGAACATTTATGACAAAGCCACCTGTCTTCCTTCAGATTTTTTTGTCTAGAGTATCATGTGAATGTCAGACAGTTGTTTGACCTTCAGTATATGAAGGTCAGATTTTACATTTACTGCCAGTATTTAAAAGCACAGTTGCCTATATTGGTGTTGATCCTAGTTTATGTGAAACTGAAACCAAACTTTTCTCACAGTCTCCTTCACCTACAGTAAATGTTACCTTGTATTTCATGAGTTAGAATACTACTTCCACATTATAGTTGTAAAGGTGGGCAATTTTGAAGAGTGGTAGATCAGTGTAGGTTTCATTTGCTTTTTCTAGTATATCTGAATGTCTTAGTTTAGCTTTCAAATATATATGGAAGTTGTTGCAGTAAACATATAATCTCGTACATTTTATTGGCCTTAATTCTTTCTTCTTCAGTGACATTTTTCTTCATATACCTGTGAGGCAATACCTTTCCCTCAGTATTTTGAAATGTAATAAAAATTATGAGGAGAAATTCTTGCGTATTGACAGTTTATATTCCACATACATGTTATGTGTAGTACCTGGAAATTAATGTTTTTATCTTGTAAAACTTAATGCATTTTCATTTCAATAATACGCTTCTTTTTTAGGTACTTAGGGTTTTTTTAAATATATTTGGTTTTGATCAACCCAAGGGCATAACAATTCTGGTACAGCATGTGTTTAATCTAATGATTTGTTTTGCTTGCTGAAATTTACTAGAGATTGGAGGGAATTTGAGTTTAGTATATCTGATTTTGTTCATAGCCAGCTTTTTTTTTTTTTTAACAGAAACTGTCACTTTTTAGACTCAAAAGGCTGCTGCCCAATTCAGTACTAGTTCATTAACCAGATACAACCAGATTGGCATACCAGATGTGCTTTGAGATTATTTTAGCTCTACTCTATTGTTTGCCAGGCCGGTAGGACTGCAGGTGATAAGAATGGGACAGTTTTGCTTGCAAATCATTAGCCTTGGAAGTAATACCTTTCAACACTGTTTCTTTTACCTTAATGATACATTTTTGCTGTAGTTATTCTGGGCCAAATGAGTATTCTTCCAGCTCACACTGTGATGGTATATGTGAGAGTTGCTTGAAAGTGGGAATATAATGCTCCCCTAAAATGATTAAGGATTGTATTACAAGAACTTTCTACACAGCTGACTTTGGGAATGGCTTTTTAGCAATGTGTTCTTGTGTATATACATAGAATAGTGGTATACAAGCTTAGGTTGCCTGAGGACTTTAGATGGGACGTAGCCTAGTTCTGCTTTTGCCTTCCTACTTCTGGATCAGAAGACTAGAGTTTGTAATCCCCATAGGTATTGTATTAGGGAAAGCTAGAGCTACAGATTGCAGTTTTCCTGTTCACAGCAATCTGTTTTCTTTTCTATCCTTTATATTTCCTGGAACCTTATTTGACAGTTTTATTTGTTTTAACCTCCAGTACAAAAAAGATGATGAGGCAAAAAAAAAAAAAAGTGATAAGC